CAATCCGAAGTCAGGAGCCAAGGAGCCTCTTCGGGGTTTCCCACATGGGTGCAGGGTCCTTGACTGCTTTCTCAGGTCACAGGCAAGGATTCCGGCACATGTGAAGCAAGAACTTCAGCCACTAGTTTATCACGGCATGCCCACAGTGTTCTTAAAGTATATTTTGAAGGCATATTGCTTTGAAAAAGATTTGGGGGTAGGGATTGTAAAACATACACATTGTAACATGCACATTCTAGAATTCTAGAAGCTTCAGGTTTTTTTTTCCTTTTTTTTTTTTTGAAGACTTATTTATTGATTTTGAATGCAGAGTCAGAGAGAAAAAGAACGAGAGAAAAGGAGAGAGGGAGAGAAACTCGAGAGAGAGAGAGAGAAAGGACCTTACATATGGTGACTCATTCCCTAAATGGTTTCAACTGCTGGGGTTGGGCTGGCTAGGCCAAGAACCGGATGTCACCTGGGTCTCCTATGTGAGTACCGGGGCCGAAGTGCTTGGACAATGTTACTCTGCTTTCACAGGTGCATTAACAAGGGCCTGGATTGGAAGCAGAACATCTGGGGTTTGAACTGATGATCTAATGTGGTATGCCAGCATGGTAGCAGACAGTGAGTGGAATAGCCTACTCTGTTGCAGTGCAGGCCTCGTCCTTCTCTAATGCAGCCATTTTATAGACTGTGTGACAGGAAACAAAGAGGAAGAAAGAACAAATCTGCATCTTTCATAATATGGCCACAGGAGAGTGAATTTGTATGGAATGCTTGGCTTGGGATAAATCTATATGCTTCCCTCCTCTTGCTTCCTGTCCCCATTCTTTCAACAATTGCTGAGATGAGATGGATCAAAATGAATGTCAGTCATAAGCAATCTTACCAAATGGTTAAAATGAAGAACAAGAAGAATAGGAGGGGCTTCCTGTGGATTGAAGACAATATTAAGGACTCACAGACGCAGGTGTGATTCCTGCTGCCTGCATCACTGGCTAGTTGAAACATTTCCATCTCACGAGGTGTATGGTTGAGTTCCAGTTCCTCAATGGAGGACTCCATAGCTGGCAATCTGTAAAAAATAATATGAAGTTTGCCTTCTGAGGAACATAGTCCTCTATGTCAAGGAAATAGTGGATAGAATATTTATGTATGGGAAGAGAAACAGAAATTGTGTGACTTGGGAATTTGCTTCTGGAGTCTCCTGGCATTTACTTCTGGAGTCTCATGACATGAGGGTGAAAGGGAGAGCATTTGACAATGTACCACAGTGTGGAGACAGAAGCCAAGAGAAAGTGCGCTAATATCATGCCTTAGTGGCATATGATCTAAGACAGCTGTAGGTCTTGGTTGTTATTTTGGCTGCCAGTGGCTTGAATGTTAACAATCAGGATGGAAACTTAAAAATTGGTATTATTCAGTTACCACCTGTTGATTCAGACCTTGTCTAGGATTTAAGGTTTCTGTACGCTAATCCTCTCCTAACAACAATTTACAGGTCAAATCCAATTTTAATGAATGTAATTTTGAGATAATAAGGCTATTTGGTAAAATCACCTTTTAAAAACAGATACATCCACAAATCCCTCTTTTCATGAAGAGCTCAATCTATTAAATGAAGATGCTGATGTTTGAACTCAATATTTATGCTCCCTAACTGGGTTTAGAGGCAAGTTTTTATTACCAAAAAATACAGGAGGTTTTTTTTATAATTCTGTCTTGAATTTTCCATTTCTTCTTCTTCAAAATAAGGAAGACAAGATAGGCTAAATAATCTCAAACGATCTTCCAAGTTGTAGGGATTTGGACCCCTTGTTTGAAATGTCATCAGTGTGGGTCAAAGAAAAATAATGAAAAGGAGAAACCTATATTGAGACAAGGCCTTGGACATATTGATGACACTAGGTATTAAAAACAAGCATGGCTGTATTTACTTAATCGGTAAATATCACTTGCAGTTGTTCCTCCATCTTAAGAATCCAAATATGAAATATGTCTTAGTCTGAAAGGAACCCACAAAAAGCACACAAGTGTACAATCTTTCTCCTGAAGATTGTTTGTACACACCTATTTATGCAACCTTCACTGTGTAAATAACATGTACCAAGATATGGGGATAAGTAAGACACCATCCCTGACCTTAAGAAGCTCATAGCTTCATAGCAGAAGCTGAAATAAATAAGGAAATGAATTTTTAAGTGCTATGCTAGAATTTGGTTTAGAGTGCAATGTGGGTTCTAATACAGTATTCCAAATCAGTTTTCCAGAAATCCATCTGTCAAATGGAGTGTTGAGTATAGCTGAGTGAGTGCTCTTGCAATGATGGCAGTGGACATGAGCAGACAGAACTGCATAAGAATACAATCAAAGACCTCTGCTCGTTCCCTGGTTAGTTCTAGAGAAGAACTAGCCCTGAAGATTTGACAGGAGTCTGGGCCTTCCTTTCTCCATGTTGACCAATCGTAATATGCAGCTAATACAGAGGAAGTGGTACAGTGTAATAGCAATTGTTTAACAGCCAACTCTTCAGTGGCTCTTGTGAATGAGCATAAGCTGGCTCTGGCATATTACTATGGGGATGTGCCCTTGGGCAGAAGAGGCTCTCCTGGGTAGAGAACAATTCATGGAGAGGTAGCAGCTCTCAGCTGCTAATAGCCCACAGCAGCTGGCAGAATAATACCTCAGTTCTGAAGTGTGCATGTGGATGGTACACCACAAGAAAACTCCTCACACTTAGTATTTGCTTAAGCATTTGCCATATTTTAACCAGCACCAAAATCTACTTACCATTTTAGTGAAGTAAATTTATTTTTCTACTCTTTTATGTAAATTACATGGAATTCTATAGCTTTGAGTAACATTGACAAAGTCATTTACTCTCTGCTTTTGCAGAATGACAATGCTGATACTGACCTACCCATAAAGAATTCTGTTGAATAAACTGGCTGCTTAATCGAAGCCCATGATTTAACCCAATTTTTCCTCTCAAAGGACCTGTGATTGGGTTGATTAATCAATCTGATGTATGCTTAAATGGTGTATCTATAGAATATTTTTGGTTCTAGTTTCTCTTTCTCAAAACCAACTTTTGCTTCATATCTCTATGGTGCTCCATTTCCCCATTTTATAATGTGTAATTGTGAAAAAGTGAAGTTGGGTTCCTTCTATGGCTCATGAACTAGTTCCAAAGCTTTCCTTAGGGAATTTCAAGGATGAGTTGAACACTGGAATATGTGTAGAGCCACAAAAATCATCAAGAGTAGACTTCAAAAGTCTAGATATGAGGGGGTCTTTAAAAAGTTCATTACAATGTACATTATGAAAAACTGCATGCATTTTAATTTTTACACCAAAGTAAGTATATGTTTTAATTCTTTTTTTTTAAGAACAGTTTGAAATTCCGTAAATTTTGAAGAAGCTAATCATTATTTGAAAATCCACATTATGTCATATTGAATGTATAGTGTATTTAAATCACCATCATAAGTCACTAGTTAAACTTTAAGATATACAATGGATGCCAACTTCAGCTTTAAGGGATAACTTTCTGGGGTTATCTAACAAGTGTGAAGGAGATTTTTGTAAATAAATGAAACAATGTGGAAATGTCAATAACCAGCCATTGAGGGTGGCTGTGCACACTTACATCCTGAGATTAAATAGCCCCTGTATGCATGTATAATTAGCATTTACCAGTGGTTGTATGACTTTGTCCTTTTTCAAAGAACTCAGAGTGCTTTCCAGTGATTATCTAATTAAACTACTCAATGTATCTGTGAACTGCACTGGAATCTACATTTAAAGATGTGGTCACTGAAGCCAAAGTTAGCTTAAACTAAACTCTTATAGCATGCCAAGGACAAAACGGGATATGTGACTTCCAGTAATATGATCCTAGCTGCCATTCTTTAACTGTTGCCCCTCTAATCCAATCTAGTCTAGCATAGCCTTGCCAAACAACATAGTTTCATAAGTCTAGGGAGAATTACATTGGGTGAAAAGTAATTCCAATTACAATGAAGCTATATTTTGAAACGTTGAACAAATTACTCATAATAATAATAGTATTCAGAGGCAAGTGTAAGTGCTATTCATTGTCTAACTCGTGGTACGGGTACAAACATTTGGTTAAAATCTATTGGAGTACATGTTTGTAGGAAGTAGATTAAAAGCGAGAGTGGCTGTGGGAATCTCTCCCATATTCCTCTTCTTCATAGTCTAAGGTGTGATAGCAGCCGTTATTTATTGAGAGTGATACACTTAACCTGTTAGGTGAATTGTCTCTTTCATTCATCATTATCATATCATTATCATCCGATGAAGTAGGTATTGCTACCCCCATTTTACAGATGAAACAGAGAGAGTTTAACTAATTTACCCAAGGCTATACAGCTAATAACTGGCAGTGTTACGATATAAACATTGCTTTTCCAATCCTAAAGGCTTGTTATTATGCTACCTACCATTTCTAAAGTAATTCTTGTTCCTGTGTAGTAATAGGCTCTTCAGTCTGTAGGAATGTCACTGTTGTGCCTTTGCCAATTAACAGTCCCTGGGCATACCTGAAGCTCAGCTCTTGATCTCACCCTCTTTTAAAAAACTTTATTTATCTGAGTGAAAAGGAAAGTGAGAGCAAGAGAGTGAACTCCCCCTTCCATTTGCTAGTCCATTCTTGGCATACCTATAAGCAAGAATTCAATCCAGTCTGCCCTCATGGGACTGATACCTCCCAGGGTCTACTTTGGCAGGAAGCCGGGATTAGGACCTGGAATTGGGTATCAAGCTCAGGTACTCTGCAATAGGACACTGGTATCTGATCTGGTAAATGGTAAGCTAAGTGGTTGCCCCAGGATGTCAGTATCTTGCTTATCTTGATTGCAGAAGAGAGAAATCATTCATAAATTCGTTGCAATACATTTGTGTATTTACTCAATCTCTAGTGGTTTTTTTTTTTTGCATCTGCAATAGTTTATTAACATATTGTTACTGTAACCTCTTTGTTTTGTTGATTTCAGTAATCATCATGTGTATGCATTCGGCTTTGATTGGGGGACAGACTCAAATAGAGCTCTTGGAATGGGCTCATGATTTGAAAATGACTGATGGAACCTATGTGTTTGTTCCTTACGATGCCCTGCTCTACAGTTTACCTTATAAGCACACTCCATACCAGGTCCTAAGGAATAACCCAAAGCTCCGAGAAGCCTATGATGCTGTATTGACAATTACAATGGAGTCTCAAGAGAAGACATTCTATCAGGCTTATACGGAGGCAGCAACAAGGGGTGAAATTCCTGAGAAGCTGGAGTTAGATCAGGTAAGTGGATTCACAAGTTGTCATGAGCTGAGAAACAAAATTTGGCTTAGTAAGTATGATTACTTTTACTGTCAACACCCTGTATTTCGTAGGCAAGCCATTCAATAGCATGCAACCACACACAGATTAAAAATACATTTTATTTGAAGAGAATTTTAAAAAATAAAGACACTGTTGGAATTTTCTTATCCTTTAGCAATCTACAATACTATTATGTAGTCATAAAGAATAGGTGAAATTTATTTAAGAACTGGGAAAGAACTTTAATACATACTGGTACTATTCAAGGGAGCTTAGTAAATAAGTGCTGATCCAGTTTAGCAGTAAAGCCATGGTGAACAACAAAATATCACCTTGATTATTGATAATGTTGGTTTTGGAGGATGCAGTTTCCTTTTCTAGGCATTTGAGCTTCCCAATACTGAAACTGAGGATCACGCAGACTTTTACACACAGCTGCTGACATTGCTGGAATACTGGAGACCTGATGCATTGTACATTAAATATATAAGTTGGATGAGTACAACAGAGCACATACTTCCTGTAGGTAGCCTACTCCCAAGAGAAACAAGATAATAGGGACTGGGTTATGCATATGCTTGGCTTTATTTCTAAACTAACCAGTTTGTTTTTTGAGAGGAATAAGTAAGGGAGGTTAGAGAGATCAGGAATTTTTTTTTCCAGAATAGCTATACCTGCATGAAAGGAATCACCTGGAATGCGGAAAGAAATATTCTTTCATAATGTATAAGAAAAAATATTTGTGTATGTTTGGATGCATGTACAAGGGTACTTCAAGAAGTCCATGGAATATAAAATTAAAAGATGATTATTTTGGTACAAGAGGATTGCTAAATCCATGCATATCTTTTCTTAATATGTAATTAAACTTTTTGAAGATCCCTTTCATACACAATTTTGAAATGTTTTCACACCAAAATAAACTTCTCTTGACTTCATTTTCCATGAGCATTTTGAAGCACTCTTTGATTTACAGACATATTTCAGATTCAGTTCATAAACACTTAAGGCTAAATGCCCTAAGGAGAAGGGAGCAGAAGAAAGTAGATAAAAGAACAGAGAGCCAAGAAGAACAAAGAAGATAGGAATTGGAGAGGAAGATGGTGATACAAATGAAGTCAAAATGGAAGAATATAGATAGATGTCTGTTGGATGATTGTCACAGGAGAAAACAGGCATATTTGGAAGCACTCCAAATGACACATATGTAAGTTTTAAAGTTCTAACATTTGTTAGCATTCCATATAAGTCATATTGCTTTTGGCTGCAAGTAACAGAATGCCGGACAGGGCCTAAATAATGATTTTTCAAAATTTGGAGGTGGAAGCATCAAGGTTCATTAATGCAGCAACTTGCTGATGTCTTCATTTTTTTTTTCTTATTTCATCTTACAAACCACAATGGATTATCTTGCCCATATGAGTTGGTTGGTATCATGGTCCCAGGATGGCTGTCATAACTCCAGTTATCACAGACAGGTGGCAGTGTGCACAGGTGAAAATGGACAGTTTCCCTTTTCTATGCTTCTTTTTGAGAAGAGGAAATCTTTCCTAGATATTCACTGAATAGATTTCCCTGCATATCTTCTTGATCACAATTGTGCCCCAGACTATTGCTTAATATTCAGGAAAGAGGCGTAAGACTGCCATGATGACCTTAGAGCTGTTGGGAAAGTGTGAAAAAATTCAGATTCTATCCGTAAGGAAGAAAGCTGTCAGGTAGGTGGCAAGTTATGTCTGATACATTTTCTATGCTATTCTTTTTTTAAGTTTTATTTATTTGAAATATTCACAGTGAGAAAGACACACACAGATATTCTATTTTCTGGTTTACTATACAGGTGGTTGCCAACAGCCAGGGTTGGGCAGGCCAAGGTCATGAGCCTAAAACTCCAGCTTGGTGGTAGGGTCCAATACTTGGGCCATCTTCAGCTGCTTTCACAGGAGAATCAGCATGGAGCTGGAGTGCACATAAAGCAGCCAGGACTAAAAGGAACTCTATTATATGGGATGCTGACATTGTAGATTGCTGCTTTACTTGAGGCACTGGCCCCTATGATACTATCCTGTTTTATTCACCTGATGTTTTCCCCTCCCATAAGCTGCTTCTCTCTCTGAATGAGCGATCCAGGCAAACTAAACGTTTCCTATCTCTTCCTAACTGAGTATTGATAATAAAGAGTTTTATGACTGTAAGAGTGACTTAAAAAATATAAGCATTTACAGTTCTACATTTGAACTGTGTTGTTACGTTTATTGTAGATCTCCTTTTTAAGGAAACATGCATATAATTAAAACAACGGCCAATTTTATCAAAAATTGCATAAATTCCTTAAATTGCTAAGAATGTTTTTGTCTAAATGCAGTTGTTTGGTGTTGTATTTTGGAGGTAAGCAACCAGGTTGTAAATTTCGGTACTCTTAAGCCAATGCATGGCATTATATAAATGTAGTGTAAGTCATCCTTTTATTTCAGTTGAAGAAGATCAGCGTGTGCGTGCATATGTACACCCCTGTGTATGTGTGTGTTTGTATGAGCAGATAATTGATAAAAAAACTTCTACTTTTGATATTTGAACCAATCCCCTTGAGTTTGTAGAAAACAGAATGTAATTAAGGCAAAAAGACGCCATTAGCCTGGTTGCTAGGCAGCCAGCCCTCTGCTTTAGACAAGGAAATAGAGCTACAACAAAGAATCCAGAGCTTCTATGAAAGCCTATTTAAGACCTAGTTACTCCCCCACTTTGCAAGCAAAGTATATTCATGTCTGTGATAAGCAAAATTCCCTCTCGCCTATGTTGCCTTGCTCAAAGGTAGTTTAGAGGGCAGCTGGCACAGCAGAAAGTGCATAGGATAAGGGGTTAGGCAAGCTTGGGTTTAAATTGCAGCCTCCTCTCTCTCATCAGCCAGATGTCCTTGGGTAAGTTACCTAGAATTTTTGTCTATTTACCTATCTGTAGACTCTTTCAGGATTATTGTAAATGTTAAATACGCAACACATATAAGGTGACTAGCAGAGTGCCTGGCTCCCAGCTACTTTCCTTCCATTTCTTTGAGGTCAAGGTAGTTTTATTTGTTGATGGCAAGCTACATCTAGGTAGTATTCTGACTTCAGTTGTCTATTTCTCCTGAAGTTTTCTAGTCTCTTAATGTTTCAGCTTTCAAAATTATTTTACTTTCAGAACTATAAATCGCAATTTCTCAAATCAAATTATGTACTTCAATGCTTGTCTGTCCCTATACATTTTTTTGTTTTGTTTTTTCTCTATTTAGCCTACAGGTCAACAACTATTTGTTGAGTACTTGCCATGTACTATTGTTAATAGCTGAGCTCCAGAGAGAACAGTAAACAAGGTAGGTAGGTTTCCATTGGTGGCGTGTTGGAACCAAATCACAAAAGGTGATTATGTGTATCTTTTCTTAACTCTTGCATTCAGTGACATCATGTTGGTAGCTTCAGATCAGTCATGCTGGGAAGAATTTATACTAACAAAACTGACAAACATTACAAATACAATCTTTTCTCCTTTCTGTGGAACTATTGTTTATATAATTTATTCCTGTCCTTATGGGTGTTCAGTTCTATGGAGAAGGACTGTTAATAAATCAGCAAGCAAATGTATTTAAAAAGTTGATGGTTTCTTTCTTGCCCAATAACTTTCAATGAAGTTAAAATGTGTCTATTGCTTATACCAGTGTTTCACTCTCTTATAACTTATATCCTTGCCTTTAAAAATGGAATAAACAAACCATGACAAAAAGCTATCAAAGTGATACTTGCATGTAGTTTTACAGGTGAACAAATGCAAAAAGAGACAGAGTGTTTAAGTAGTGTATAAATGTCCTACATCCAACACTGGGGTGTACCTGGTTCATCACCATTGGATCCAGATTCCAGCTTCCTGTCAGTTTAGACCCTGGGAGGCGGCAGCGATGGATCAAGTAATTGGGTTTCTTGGGCCCAGCCAATAGCGTAGCAGCTAAGGTCCTCGCCTTGAACGCTCTGGGATCCCATATGGGCGCTCGTTCTAATCCCGGCAGCTCCACTTCCCATCCAGCTCCCTGCTTGTGGCCTGGGAAAGCAGTCCAGGACGGCACAAAGCCTTGGGACTCTGCACCCACGTGGGAGACCCGGAGGAGGCTCCTGGCTTCGGATTGGCTCAGCTCCAGCCCTTGCGGCTGCTTGGGGAGTGAATCATTGGAAGGAAGATTTTCCTCCCTGTCTTTCCTGTCTGTACATCCGCCTTTCCCCCCCCCCCCAAAAAAAATCTTAAAAAAAAAAAGTAATTGGGTTTCTGTCACCTACATGAAGACCTGGGTTCAACCCCCGACTCCTTGCTTCAGCCTGTGATGGTTGCAGGCATTTAGAGCATCAGTCCATGGAAGGGAATTTTTTCACTCTTTTTCTTTCTTCTTTCAAATAAATTTGAAAGAAAAAAACTTAAGACAAATCTCACTAAAAATAATTATTATGCCATAGACATGCAAAATCTCAAAAATTTACCTCCTGTGTACCTTTGTCAGACGCGAATAGGGGATGTGGTGAACAAAAATAACAAAGTAAGTGGAAATTGTGGGTGCAACACACAGAACAGAATGTGAATTTTTCCAATAATGAGAATGTAACTGGAGTGGAAGGAAAGAAAGCCTCAGTAAAAACAAGTGAATTTGGTAAGCAACCTGGTAGGATTTACATATGTAAAAATGTTTTCAGAGGATTTTACAACCAAGAGAAAGCAGGGAAAAACACAGAAAAGCTAATTAAGGGAAAAAAATGTTATAAATAAAACAATGAAGTCCAGTAAGAATAAAAAATTACATGTGACATGAATTATAGTCATAGTACCCCATTGGATTAGCATTGAGTGATATCTACATAAGTACTATTTTAAAGATAGTAAATGTGTATTTAAAAATTGTGATATCGACTGTATTGAGAGTCTCAAAGAGGTTAAGAAAGTAAACAAGGACTAGTAAACCT